AAGTAGAGGTCTATCTGTACTCCCTACACAAGAATTCATAGCTACAACTTCTGTTTGCTACCATAACGTTCTTATCCATCCTCAAAGCCAATGCAGAGTTGGTTAGCAAACACCATCCCTGGCTGGCAGAGAGAGAGAACTCAGATAGAAAGCATAATGTCACCATTATATTAAGACTTTAGTTTTTATCCCATTCCTTCTAACAAGGCATCTTTTTCATGAGATGTCTCTGATGCTTAACCACCATCCCAAGCAAATCAAAGATACGATCTCCAGTTCCAAATTGCCAAGACTCCCCAAGAATGCGATAGAAACTTGCCGCAAACCCAAAACAACATGGCAGAATTCTTCATTCAAATCATATCATGTAATGCATAAGAGGCCTTCTGTTTCTCCTAGTAAATCATTCAGGATAGTTGCGTACTCACACAACCCATATTCCTGCTCTGAGATTCACTTTATTTGTGTTTTTTGCCTGCCCAGCCACAAAAACTTTGGGCAGGTTACAACCGGTTAAAGTCATAAAAGCAGCCATAGAAATATTGTTCTTGGAGGTTAACTATCAAATTCTGGTGGCTACAAGAGGAATGGGATTCCCTTCCTTGGATGATCATAATTTGATCGCTCTCCTGGCAAGAGAAGTGCAGGTGGCAGAGGGAACATGAGCTGTCAATTAACCTTCCGACTCTTCCAAATGCCCTGGGAGAAAGCAACGGCTTGCCAAGCAAGGTGCCAACTAGTGTCAGTTGATCCTGATGTTCACCACTCAGCAAGGACAAAAACACATTCAGTGTCTGCTGGATAGAAAACAGCAGCATGGATTTTTTTTTCCCAAGGAGAACCATTGCATGCAAACACAGTTGAAAAAGGGACAGACAAGTTGTAGAGCAGCAGAATGTGATAGGTTGGTCCTTCGGATTCTGCAACCAAGCCATGGCTCCTAAGATTTGGATTTGACTCCACATGCAAAAAGTTTCATTTCATTTTGTTAGATAGCGCCCAATGTTCAAGTCTGTCAAGATCCTTCTGTATCTTGAGCCTATCTTCTGGAGTGTTGGCTATTCCTGCCAGCTTGGTGTCATCTGCAAATTTGATGAGTTCCCCATCTATCCCCTCATCCAAGTCATTGATGAAGATGTTGAAGAGCACTGGGCCTAAAACAGAGCCTTGGGGTACTCCACTGCATACTTCCCTCCATGTAGATGCAGTTCCATTGAGGACTACACCAGGGGTGGGTTCTAAAATTTTTTACTACCTGTTCTGTGGGCATGGCTTATTTTGTGGGCGTGGCTTGGTAGGGGGTAATGTGACTGGGTGGCCATGACCAATTTTTTTTTTTTACTTTTAAAAGCATTTTTTCTACAACCTTAAGAGGTTGAAGAGGTTATAGAAAAAATGCTTTTAAAAGCCTCTGATGATCCCAGCTGAGCCGCGCAATCATCAGAGGCTTTTTTTTTTACTTTTAAAAGCATTTTTTTGGCCGAAGAGGTTGTAGAAAAAATGCTTTTAAAAGTAAAAGTAAAAAAACAAAGCCTCTGATGAGGTGGGCAGGGTAAGTGAGCGGCGACCGGGCCGGGAACTGGTTTGGGGGGTGGGGGTGGCTAGCCAATGTTATTACCGGTTCTCCAAACTACTACAAATTTTTACTACCGGTTCTTGTGAACCGGTGCGAACCGGTAGCAACCCACCACAGGACTACACGTTGAGTGCAGTTGGTCAGCCAGTTACAAATCCATCTGGTGATGATGCTGTCTGACCCACATTTTTCTACTTTATCTAGTAATAGGTTATAGTCTACTTTGTCAAACACAAACAAATTCTAAGATCGTTCGATGTCGCATTAACATACAGTATGTCTCATCTCATTTCCAAGCCTAAAGATCAAAGGCTTTGTATATGTTGGCTGCCTCCTTTCTTCCAATAATTGTGTGATTTTTTATTATTATTATTATTATATTTGGCGTGATGGGTTTGGCATCCCTCCAATGCAAATAATGGGTACTAGCAATTGTCTGAAAGTTGAATCATGACAGGCAAAGGTTGTCAAGAAGCTTCATCAGTCAGAGCAAATCAGTCATTGGAATGGACCAACTCTTGCCACACCAACCTTAGGAGTTTCTTCTGCAAGGCATTTTGGGGAGGAAACCTCTGAGGTTGGCATGGCAAGAGTTGGTCCATTCCAAGGACTCTCTGCCTAATGACTTGCATTGATTGATGAAGCTGTTTTAATGAGCAGCAAAACGTCTCAAGCCAACAAAAAATTGTCTAGTTGCCACAATTCCACCTTCAGACACTGGATGACTGTGAGTCTTCAATGGTACTACACTTAGAAAATGAATACTGGTTACTTTTAAACTTGATTAATATTTTTTTTAAGTTAGGCTGGATAAGCATCCAGACATTGGGTTAGCTTATGGTTGATTTTGCACAAATTCAGAAAATGGGTAAAATTGGTAACCAGGCTAAATACATCATCCAGGCATTCTAATCAGCAGTTTGCTGTTTTGCAGAATATCTGTCAGGCGCAAGGAACCAGGAACAGAAGTTGAGCTCAAAGCCCTAAAAGTTTATTACCTATATACAAGAATCGGATCTACGAACAGTCAAGCCAAATTGGTGCTAGATAAGGGTCAATGGGATTCAGGATGGGGAGGCTGGACTTGGGTCTTTTGTGGGAGAGTAGTGACTCCAAACTATTGATTCATTTATTCCGCCCTCCAGCCAGTGGTGGGTTTCAAAAATTTTTACTACCGGTTCTGTGGGTATGGCTTGGTGGGTGTGGCATTGCTTGGTGGGCGTGGCAGGGGAAAGATACTATAAAATCTCCATTCCCACCCCATTCCAGAGGAAGAATACTACAAAATCCCCATTTCCTCCCGATCAGCTGGGACTTGGGAGGCAGAGAATAGATGGGGGCAGGGCCAGTCAGAATTTTTACTACCAGTTCTCTGAACTACTCAAAATTTCCACTACCGGTTCTCCAGAACTGGTCAGAACCTGCTGAAACCCACCTCTGTCTCCAGCTCAGCTTGTTCCTCTCCTACATCATCTAGGCCAGTGGTGGGATTCAAAATTTTTTACTACTGGTTCTGTGGGCATGGCTTGGTGGGTGTGGCTTGGTGGGCGTGGCAAGGGAAGGATACTGAAAAATCTCCATTCTCTCCCCACCCCACTAACCTGCTTTCCAGCTCTGTTCTCCTGTGCTGGGCAACAAAAGAAGACCCAGCCAATCAGCTGGGACTCGATCAGCTGGGACTTGGGAGACAGTGAATAGATTGGGGGCGAGGCCAGCCAGAGGTTGAATTTGCCGGTTCTCTGAACTACTCAAAATTTCTGCTACTGGTTCGCCAGAACCGGTCAGAACCGGCTGAATACCACCTCTGATCTAGCCAAGGTATTCCTGCTTCTGGAGTGATCTTCCTGGGAAATGTAAAGATATTTCTCTTTCCATTCAAGTCATCTTTTTCTCTCCTCCAATGTGCTGCTGGTGGCTTTTGTAGTTGATTCTGCGTTAGCCTATCTTACATGCTCCACTTTCAAATGGGACACTATTTTTAATGGCCAGTATTGGGAGCTAGATTTAAATGTCTGCTCTCGAGTGTAATTAAGACTCAATTACCAAAAATAATTGTACTGTCATAAACCAAACAATACAGTCACTGGGCATAAGCAATAACAGATGAGACCATTAAGAACTTAATGAGTTTAATAACCAAATATCTTCTGACTCTTGTTGGCATTTCACCTGTAGAATCCATTTCTAATAGAGGAGTTACTTCAAAGAAAGATAGCTTTTCTCCCTTAAATAATTCACCTTTAAAATGATGCAGGGTTAGGCTTAGGGTTATAGGTTTGCTTTGTAGGAGGAGAACTTTGTTGGTCTACGGGGGAAAAAAATAAATCACAGGGAGTCTGGTAGCCCCTTTTCCAGCTAAATAATTTCATTAAATGGGTTAAAGCTATCTTGAGCTGCAGCTCATTTGATCAGATGTATAAAGTGGCTAAATTGATGTAGGATTTAAAGCGGGGGGGGGAAGGGAGGAAACGATGAGAAGAAAGATTGTTTATACAGATACAGGATGTACATGAGACAGATTATAAGTACCTTATCAATTAACAATTGAGATGTGTTCAAAACCCATTACTTTTATTGAGTCCTTCTGAGATTGCCTTTTGATGTGAATCGAGCATTCTCTTGCTCATCTTTTTTTTTTCTTTCTTTCTTTCTTATTTTATATCACAGGGTAAAGTACAGGATTTTTATTTATTCATTTCTATATTGAACTTTTAAACTTTTTAATTTAAGTTTAAAAGTTCAATATAGAAATGAATAAATAAAAATTCTGTTAAACTTGGGGTGCATTCAACTTGTATTTGGAATGAGTAGAAAGCGGAAATGTTGAAAAAAGCTTACACAAGATGAGTCTACGCAGCCTCTTGTCCTAATTTGGTTGATGTTAGTTTACTGAGAAGAGCACAGTTTGCTAGCTTTTCATAATAAAATGCCAATGGTTTTGCTCACACAACATTATGACTGTAATTTTGTTGCTTGTATCCTTACAATTTATATTGATATTGTTTCCTGATTGTTTATTTGTACACTATGACTATCATTAAGTGTTGTACCTTATGATTCTTGACAAATATATCTTTTCTTTTCTGTACTCCGAGAGCATATCCACCAAGACAAATTCCTTGTGTGTTCAATCACACTTGGCCAATAAAAAATTCTATTCTATTCTAACATTCTAAGCCAAAGCTTAAAGGAACCACGCGATAGTTGAACATTTCATGTGGCAGTATCTTCAGAGGTACCAGAATTGACATCCCAGATTAACTTGGTGCCAAAGCCAAAGCCAAAGCCAAGCCAAGATCATAATGGCTGGAGTTTACATGTGATTCCAGTTCTTGGGTCAACCAACCTAAAGACCTGCGGAGAGATCAAGTGACAGTTGCAGAGCAGCACAAAGGAGACTCGGTCATATCATGAAGTGTCTTACCAGGATGATTGAGCTGCATAGTACTCCTGCTCCACTGTGATAGCCCCACAATAGCCACCATCTTGGCCCCCAGGCTGGATCGCCGCTTCTTAGTGGAGGAAAGACTTGCTGAATCGGAATTGCCACCATTACTCTTCTCTATGTTGTACATTTCTCCACTGATGCTGGAGCTGCGAACCACATTCCTGGCTGCAGAGTTGCTCGTCTCTCCATTCAGCATGGCCACCTGAGGGGACCTCACTGGCTGCGGACAAGCTGGGTGAAGCTGCAAGAGAAGACCAGGAGATATGAAGCAGGAGAAGTTGGTCCTTCTGTTAACAACAGAGGCAGGCAAACTGTTTTGGGGTGAAAAATAATGTGACCAGTACTCTTTATATACCGTATTTTTTGGAGTATAAGATGCACTGAAGTATAAAATGCAGCTTAGTTTTTGGGGAGGAAAATAGGAAAAAAAAAATCTGCCTACCAGGTATTCATCTGGCTAGCATCCTGGTCAGCTTCAGCACATTAGTTTGCTTGTTTTTATCTCCTGCTTGGGGATAAAAGGCACAGCTGAGAGGAAGCTTCTAAGCACAGCTGAGAGGAAGCAGCCATGAGAAAAGCAGGCAAAGCACGGGGAGATCGCTTCACTCAGCTAAGCATCTAGTTAGGGCTGAAAAAAAGCTTCTAAAGAACAGCTGAGAGTTGGAGCAAAGCAAGGAGATTGCTTCACTCACTAGTGCCTCGTTAGCACCTCATTAGGACTGAAAAAAAGCTTTGAAAGCACAACTGATCTTTGGAGAGAGAAGCAATGAGAAAAGCAGGCAAACCACGGAGATCGCTTCACTCACTAGCGCTAGGGCTAGTGAGTGAAGGGTTAGGGCTGAAAAAAAGCTTCACAGCTGAGAGTCGGAGGGAGCAGGCAAAGCAGGGAAGCGGAGATCACTTCAATTGCCAGCGTCTCATTAGGGCTGAAAAAAAGCTTCAAAAAAGCTACATTCGGAGTATAAGATGCACCCAAATTTTCAGCCTCTTTTATGAGGGAAAAAAGTGTGTCTTATACTCCGAAAAATACGGTATTTTGCTCTGACCTGAAACCATATCAACACAGGTCCAGCTAACTCCCTGGAACTATACCTGGACAACCATACCCAAAAAGGGGGGAACAGAGACTGACTGAAAATTCTCCAGAACTGTTAGACCCCACAATGCTTTCTTGAGGAAGGGGGTCCACCACCACCTTTGGAGTACTGTAGAAAGAATCATCTCATCTCTCGGGCATGAATTTGCCATCATGGATGCACCACACATCATCACCTGGGAAGCCTTAATCAACCAGGGGGGTCATGGATCTAATAAGCAGGTAGACAGAGTAACAGTTGTGAAGATTCTGTCCACTTTTGTAAGACTCTTTCCAGGCAACAGGAAAAGACCAACTCAACAGAACCTGCCCAGTCAGAGCCTAATTTAGGTGAGATCCAAGTGACTTTATCTAGCAGAAGACTAGACTATTCCTCATGGAAGCTTTGTAGATATGTTGGGAGGGGAGGAAACAAAGGAAATTTCCCATCTTTTTACTCTTACAACAACAACCCAATATTATGTGACTAATGCCAAGTTTTCCAGGGACTTTCCATGGTTGAGGGAGGATCTGCATCTTGGTCTATCCATTCCTGGTTCGACACCTGTACCACCACATCACAATGGTAGGTAAAGGTAAAGGTTCCCCTCGCACATATGTGCTAGTCATTCCAGACTCTAGGGGGCGGTGCTCATCTCCGTTTCAAAGCTGAAGAGTCAGCGCTGTCCGAAGACGTCTCCGTGGCCATGTGGCCGGCATGACTAAATGACAAAGGTGCACGGAACACTGTTACCTTCCCACCAAAGGTGGTCCCTATTTCTCTACTTGCATTTTTTACGTGCTTTCAAACTGCTAGGTTGGCAGAAGCTGGGACGAGTAACAGGAGGTCACCCCATTACGGGGTAGTAGGGATTCGAACCACTGAACTGCCGACCTTTCGATCGACAAGCTCAGCGTCTTAGCCACTGAGCCACCGCGTCCCTTTTTCACAATGGTATTACGCCACAATAAAATGGTACCCAATGTTTATAATACAATTATTTCCCCCAGAAGTTGACTCTGTCTGGCAGGAAGAAGTCTGTTGCTTTCTGTTCTGTTCCAAAAGGATAAAATAGAACATGAGATTGCCTGAATTTTAGAAAAGGTCAAAATGCCCATTACTGAAGATACATCCTGGTTGCCTTTGCTGGTGAATTATTTTGTTTGTTTTTTGTTTTATTAAAAATAATTATGGTTTATAAATGCCAACCCTCTCTGCTAAAGTTAAAGTTCATGTCAGAGTGTTCTATTTGTACTATTGGATGACCAATATCACCACCAGATACAGTGAGAGCCAATCCTTGCCCTGCTGGAGAGCTAAACCATATTTAATGTTCAAAAGAGGTTTTCTAGGATGCAAGAGTAGAAATAGTAAATATTCTGCACTGCTTCGGGAAGAAGTAATTGAAATGCAAAGATTCTCAGGGGTGGGTGGCAGAATACCTTCCTGGAAGTCATAATATGTACTCCAGAATCAGTTCCTCTAATCCCGGAAGGCTTGTTATCAGCCTCCACAAAACCAAGAAAGACACACTGTGATTCTTCCAAGCAGATTTCTTTATTGTTCCTCGCTTATAGACAGAATCTTGCCAAAGTAAAGCAAATTACCAACCTCCTAAACTATTAGGGAGGAGCTATCTTCATCCTCTTTCTCTCACTCAAGATATCTGAGCTGAGTTGTCTCTAGCTTCTTTGGAATGCACTCCTTTCCTGGAAGTTACTTACCTGAGTTAAGTCTGGGACAGGAAGAGAATTTTAGAAACTTAAATTGGCTCCTCATTAATTCTCTTGGCATTAAGAGGATGGGAGGAAAAATGGTCTCAACCTTAAAATAGTCTTACTAGAGAGTTCTAGAAAGTCTTGTGGAGTTGTTTTCCAACCTGACCTACCTCAAGAGCTGAGAAAAAGGTAGCCAAATATATAACTTAATCCAGCTTTCCATGAACCCAGTGAATTACAGGTAACATCAGCTAGAGAGGCCCATGATTTGACACCAAACTCCATTCATGTAGCACACTCACTTCAGACAAATTCAAGTATGACTAAAACCAGCCAAATTATGACCATGTCTTTTCAAACCAAAGACACCAGATAGTATCTCTTGCTAGGACTGGGAAACACTCACCAAAACCCTAGAGAACTGCTGTTAGTGTGAAAGAGCTTTCTGCACCTGTTCAAAATTGCTTTTCTGTATTTATTTATTTATTTATTTATTTATTTATTTATTTATTTATTATTTATTGGTCAACAAGTACAAGGAAACAAGTAACAGTATAAACATAGACATGGACCCATGAAAAAAAATTGGCACAAATAAAAGGATATAAATAAGCAAAACATAGCCATAAACATATCGAATGAGTACATATAAATTTGGGCAGTAGGACAGGGACGGTAGGCACGCTGGTGCGCTTATGGATGCCCCCTTTACGGACCTCTTAAGAAACATGAAAGGTGCACGGTAGACAGTTTAAGGTAAAAGGTATCGGGATTAGAGAGACTAACAACAGGATCAGGTAGAGTGCTCCAGACATTTACTACCCTATTGCAGAAGTCATATTTCCTACAATCAAGATTAGAACGAATTACATTGAGTTTGAATCAATTTTCTAGGCATGTTTGGACAATTAAAGTATGTTCTAGGATTAAAACCATGGCTTACATGAATGTCTGAATGATTTTCATGTGTCATCTAGGTGGAGTTGACCCCTTCCTTATCAATATAATGGTATCTGCAGCCACATCTAGCTGCACTGTATAGATTAGAATCTCTTGTTTTCATAGTTGATTATATTAAAAAAAAACATTAGTCCTACCCCCGTTTCCCCGAAAATAAGACATCCCCTGATAATAAGGCCAATCGGGCTTTTGAGTGCATGCACTAAAATAAGCCTCCCCCCGAAAATAAGCTCTCCCCCAAAATATTTAAAAGCAGAGCTGGAAATCAGGTAAGATGGCAAGAGGAACCCCATCTATTCCATGCACCCCAAAATAATAAGACCTCCCCGAAAATAAGGCCAAACGCTTATTTCGGGGTTCAAAAAAATATAAGACAGGGTCTTATTTTCGGGGAAACACAGTACTCTGTGGGGGAAATAGCTGTGATGGTGGTGGTACTTCCAAAGGCTCACTGATGTGGTGGAATGAGGGGCTGCATTCCAGAGGACCAGGAGACAGCAAAATTTAATTAATTTGGTCAGGAGAAACTCAGTTAAGAAGGCTCCTCCCTAATGATTTGCAGAGTACATCTATGGTGATAACAAGGATTGCTTTAGTTTGGCACGATTTTGTGTATCGGTGAGGAACAATAAAGGAAAAGCTCAGAAGTTACTCTTCATGTCTTTCTCGGTACTTGGGGCCTGACAGCTGGTAACCCTTGAAGCTTTAGCTGAAAAAGACTTACGTTGTTTTATTGTTTTTTTTTAATTATTTATTAAATTTAGGTACTGGCTATCTCATTCTCTGAGTAGAGAATGCTAGCAGGAGCAATAAATTTGGTTCATTTTGCTAAAAGCTTTGAACTTCAAATATTATGCCAAATTAGCTAGGCAGCCTTAAACTGAAAACCAACAGAGCTAGCATATCCAGATGACTCAGTTACCAAGATAACAAGCAGTAACATTGCCATAAATACATTTGGTGCAGCTTTGCTAGATTTTTGCTAGTTAAAAATGCCCCTATTTCTGTATATTCTTCTGTCACAATTTTGGGGCCAATGATTACATTTTTTTCTAAGAAACATCTTCCCTCCCTTGAAAAGCATTTAATGTGAGTATTTATCTTCTCCAATCTTGTCCATATATTCCTTCATTACTGATGCTTTACTAATACCTCCATTCTCTAGTGCAGACTTTCTCAATCTTGGCAGCTTCAAGATATATGGACTTCAGACTCCCAGAATTCTTCAGCCAGCATAGCTGGCAAGGGAATTCTGGAAGTTGAAGTCCACACATCTTCAAGTTACCAAGATTGCGAAACACTGCTCTAAATGTCTTAGAACAACAATTTGCAGTTAAATACTAAGTCTTGTACCCCAACACAACTAGAGATCACACAAAGGGCAAAATCTACTCAAGAAATGCATGTATATACCAGTGGTGAAATCTAAAACTTGTTACTACCGGTTCTGTGGGCGTGGCTTGGGGGGGGGGTATGGGGCTGGGTGG